TAATAAAACAAATGTTTTGAGAAACCTTGTAATATTTTTATTCAATATTAATTAATTAAATTAATATTAATTTAATTTTAAAATTAAAATTGATAATTTGTAATAACTAGTAAGGCATGGTAGCATAGGCCTCCAATATCTCTAACTGCCAAGAGAAGACAGGATTGTGAATTTGAGGCCAAGTTGTGATATTTGGAAAGATCTTATCTCAAATAAAGAGAGCTGCGGAAGAATGACACACACCTCTTGTATATTAGTTCTATGTCACTAAATTGCTTAGGGTGGATACTTACGATCCCCAGGTCTTTTCTGTTTCCTGAAAACAGACTTTGTTCAATTTGCCTCCATGCCACACTGACTTGAAATATTGAATATTTATTTTCACCAAGAGTCTCACTACTGCTTCCTCTAGCACCTTAGCTCTGATATGTACTCTACATACTGTTTGCAGTTTTCTGCCCCTGGCATCTGACAGCTGTATTCCCCTTTGTGACTTAACAGGCCATATCCACTGCTTTCTGCCTTTTTCTAGCATCTTTTGTTACCTGAATCTCATGCATACAACACACGAACTAACCTGACACAGAGATCAGACTTTCAGGCGGATAACAGACAGTGTAGTGTAGGAAGCCGCAGCGGGTGCTGGCAAAATCGCCATTGCAACATGGCGCTGACATCCGGTATTTTTCCTAGTAAACAAGTAAATTGCGCATGTGCCATGGTAAAAGCCCGCTAAAGTTAAAGCCCATCCCACAGCGTTTTGGCGCGCAATGAGTAAGCAGCCAATCAGAGGTGAATACACCGCTCTAAGGATATATAAGCAGTGCTTTTCCCAGGCCTGGCGTCTTCTTCCACCATTTTGTTTTTTGGGAATAAACGTGTTCCTACGGAAGGATCCTGATGTGTGTCCGCGTGTGCGTTCTTGCTGGCGAGACGATTACACGAGCGTCCCACAGTGTAGAACTGACTGCTCAGAATCCTCGGTGCACTGATGTCTCCAGTTCACAACAACATTCTTTGGACTGAGCTACTAGCTCTTCAAAACCATAGCATGATACATCAAGAGTTGTTGGGACAAAACCAAACAAAAATTGCATGCAATCCTTTACTTTTTCTTAATTGGGTGTTTGATTTCTGTTGATCTTTGATTTCCATACTTCCCAGGAAGGTGTTTTAGTCCATTTCTAGTTTTTCTGTAATATATTGCTGGGGGAGCCATGGCCTGGAGTTTTTTTTCACTCTGACATATTGCTGATGACTGAGACTACTTTCTTTGGTCTAAAACAGTTGATCACTGCAGGTGCTGCAATGGAAAAGAAGTTCCCAGAGCCTAAACCATTTGCCCATATGTGTTGCCAGTGAACCTCAGGCAGTGGTGGTCACTCTGCTCCCTCAATCACTCCCAAGGGAAAAGGAGAGGCTCCATGTGATGTTAGTATATGTGTTGTGTGCATGATGTTCTGATAACAAAAGATGCTCAAATGTCAGACCAGAAGAAGCCAGAAAACTGTGGGTGTGGCCTGTTAAAGTCACGGGGCAGGGGTATGGAGGGGGGAAATATAGGCTGGCAGACACCAGGGGCAGAAAACTGCAAACTGTAGAGGGCATATGGAAGCTAAGGCTCTAGAAGAAGTAGCAGTGAAACTCTTGGTGAAAATGAAATTTCTATTTTCATATAGAAAAATAGAAAAATACTATGGATGTCACAGGAGAGAATATCTAACATAAACAGGAAAGGAGTGAACTGGAAGTGGGGACAACAGTTAGCGTCCTTTCAGGACACTAGCTACTGAGAACACATAGCAGTCTGATGCCCTGACCTGTTCACTGACTGAATATGAAAGCTGAGGTTGCTCATCTGGCTACCTTTACCACTCACTTTTAAAGTAAGGTCAGGACTAACGTTGCAGGGCTGTTCTGGTCTCTCCTTTCCAGTGTTCTAACCCTACTGCACATGTCTCCCTGCTCACTCCACATCAGTCCTGTGCAGAGCTCCTGGGCCTTCTCTGAGGTACATTTTTCTCCTAACATTTCTCAGAGGGCTGTCAGTTCTGACTTTAGTCATTCAACCTCAGAAGCCCAAGTTTCTATTTTAGCTCTTAAATACTTTCCTGTCTCCATCCCCAGTGCCCCAAACCTTCTCTCATTTGTTTGAACTTTAGTGTGTTCTTTTCTCTGTCTTCACATTGATCTTGCCTAAATGCCTTTACATTGTGAGAAGTACCTTCCTCTCGTTCTTTCTCTCCTATTCCTTTTACAACACTACTCTTATCCTCAACATTGGGCAGGATAGTCGACTGGCTGACTAAAAAGTCTTTCCTCCTGGCAGCATCAGTCAAGGTCAAGTAGAATTTGGCAACAAAGGAAAAATAATTCTTTCAGAGAGAAGAGTAACTCTCCACACTCAACTTCATGATGAGGTCAAACTGGACTCCTTGAAATCTGAAGCACATCAGAATTTGCCCTGTCGTCCTGACTTCTAGAATGTCCAGTTGACCTCACACTATTGCTCATCACTCAAAGAACGCTGTGATACTCCTTGATGGAGATTGTCTGAAGAAAGGCCCTTTCAGTGGGACATGAGGGAAAACTGAAGATGGCTTTTAGTGAGAACAAGAGGCTACCATGCCCTAGAACCAAACTAGTTCACCGTCTGCCTTGTAGGTAATTATAAGGAACATCAGTTTTCTAACCAAACCAATAAAGTGGACAAATAGTGCCTATCTTTTATTTATGTTTTAGTTTTGAAATTATATTTTAATCATAGCATTCTCTCTTACCCTTCTTCTCTCTAAATTCTCCCATACAGCACTAATGCTCTCCCTCAAACTCATGGTCTCTCTTCTCATTAACTATTTATATATATATATTCCTAGATGTAATCAGTTCACATCATATAAGACTGCTTGTTTGTATGTCTGCAGCACTGGCTATTTGGCAATGGACAACCAATTGGTGTGTTCTTCCCTGGAGAAGGCTACATCTCCAGGTCAAGGCTTTCCTCACTTGCCTATAGTTTGTGAAGGGTTGAGGACTCACAGGCTTTTCCCAGTATTGAGGGATATTTTGACATATTCAGTGGTGTCTTCCTTGTTCAGATAACATTTGGGCAATCATGTTAGTGAGACTTTACCAACTTTCTCATCAAGGAAACTCGCTGCCACAGATGCTGTACTGACTGTTTTTTTGTGTCTACTTGACACACACTGGAGTTATCACAGAGAACGGAGCTTCAGTTGAGGAACTGCCTCCATGAGATCCAGCTGTAAGACATTTTCTCAATTAGTGATCAAGAAGGGAAAGGCCATTGTGAATGGTGCCATCCCTAGGCTGGTAGTCTTGGGTTCTATAAGAAAGCAAACTGACCAAGCCAGGAGAAGCAAGCAAGCCAGTAAGTAACATCCTTCCATGGCCTCTGCATCAGCTCCTGCTTCCTGACCTGCTTGAGTTCCAGTCCTGACTTCCTTTGGTGATAAACAGCAATGTGGAAGTGTAAGCTGAATAAACACTTTCCTCCCCAACTTGCTTCTTGGTTATGTTTGTACAGGAATAGAAACCCTGACTAAGACAGATGGAGACCACTATAGAAAACCACAATCAATCAAAATGTGGAGTTGTGGAACCAAGACTCAATGGATGCGCCTATAAGACATTATCTTACAAACTCTGACATGAAAATTATAAAGAAACCATGGATGTTAAATCTTAATGGAGTTTCTGATATAGTTTAGACCCTTAATTAAAGTCATCCTTCTGTCCCTACTGTAAATGATTGTATAACTCTTTTGTACTTCTGTAAGCCATATCCATTTTAATATCTGATATTATCCACTATTATTAGATATCATCAGAGTGACAAAATTAATTCATCTTATTTTAAAAGTTTTTAGCAGGTTGGAGATATAGACAGAGATAGAGTATTCGCCGTATGTATATACAAGAAAACCACAAAAATCCAGTACAGGTAAAAAGGTAGAGGAGCTAGAGATGGCTCAGTGGTTTAGAGTATTTGTTACTCTTGCAGAGGACCTGGGTTTGAGTTCCAGTACTGACACCGTGGATCACAACCATTTGCAACTCTAGTACCATCTAGGGGGGATCCAGTGCCTTCTTTTGTCCTTCTGGGAGACAAGGCAAGGACTTGACACATAGACATATATGTAAATGAAGCACATATACATATAAAAGAAAAGAAAACTCGTAGGAAATGAGGAGGCAGATATTAAAAGCAAGCAAAGGGAAGCACCTTGGAGTAACTGCTCATCACTGTCCTCCATGAGGACTGAGAATTCAGCAAGCACATGCTAAACAAACCGTGACAGCTGTGGCCTGTTGCTGCTAAGGCTTGTAGACTGCTCCTGCTGCTGCTACTGTTGTGTTGTTGTTGTTGTTTTCATAATGGTACTGAATTAACTTGATAACTTATGGCTTATCTGCACAACTAAAGATGGTAGGGTCCTCTAAGCCAACAACTCTGGATTCTAGAAATGAACCTGAGCCATTTACCAAGCTGAGAAATGTAGGTAATCAATCAGTCCATGGTTGACACAGGTGATTGATGAGAGGAGAGGCCAACATAAATCAAATTACAATCTTCACTTCCTGATGATCACACATTAGGGAAATCTTTATTCTCTACTACGGTGTTCCATACAGTTGTCCTTAAAATTTTAATTTACTTTTGCTTCTATATGGTATTAAACTGTAGAACAATTTTTGAAATAAACTCTCAGAACACCTTTTGTTTCACAGACAAGGTCATAGATTGAAGAACTTTGAATATTTCATGTGAGAGGCAGAAACAGTCCAGAACTTGATGCATTTTTATGCATGCAGTATCTGATAGGAAACTATTCACCATTCCTCATATCGTTTATTATTAGTTAACAATTAATTAAAAGTAAAAATTTTAATGTGAAAAATAAAAGTAAAACTTCTACTTTAAAAAATACTGTTATACTAAAAGTAGTCCATTTCCACATATAAAACAATAACATTACCATATTGTCTCCAGTCTGCAGTGTCGGCAGGTAAGTTCTGCCATAAGATCAGGTTGTTGAGATGATTTAGGTAGGAGGGAAGAGAATGGAAACCCTTCTGGTTGTACCACACCTGAAACAGAAAAAGATGATGGATCTCATGAAAATGGTTCGTATGTCTGTTCTTGGGCCAAAATTCATGTGCCAATAAGTTTCCACAGCACCTGAACGCACAACTCAGAGCAATGTTCCCTCATGGCTGACAGTGACAGCCAATTCCAGTCTGCTAATTTTATATTTATCTCAAGCATATAATTTACAACTAAAAATAGATTAATTTTCCCCAGAACAAATGCGAATGTAGCTTTATAATTACAGTCTCACAGGATTTGGGACTGAAGCCCATTATATATTTTTTTTTCTCAGTTGGTAAGCTAATGAAATTTGACCTGCAAATTAAAGGCGTGGAAGATGATCAGAAAAAAATGATTACTTTCAATTTAGTAACTGCACGTGGAACATTATTTCTCAAAATAAATTGAATTGAACATTTGTTGAGCATGGAGAATAAACCTATCTCCCTCTTGAAATGAACAAGGTGAAGGGGAAAAGAGAGACAATATAGTAAGGGCCAGATGCTAATTATCATAAAAAATGCTAATCGAACCACTGCTTCCCATTCTTCAAAATATCAAGATTTTTAATAAAAACTGTAATATGTATAGTAAGGTTCTAAAGCTTGTATTTTCAAGAAATTCAAGGAGTCACCTAGTACATTTGAGTCGTAATTCAACTGTGGTGGAACACACAGCTCTAGCAATGCTGTTTCTCAATAGATAATCTACACTGATGAATAAAAACTATTCCACACAATGATAGTGCTTGGAGAAGCCTCCTCAAGTTTGCACACAAGAATATTCTAAGAGAAAGCCCCCCTCAAGCCACTTGTCCTCCATCTTTCTGTGACCAATTGTATTTCACAGGAACCTGAATAGGAGTCTGTGGGAACAAAAGCAATAAAGTGGTATGCATATCAAATAAAACAAAAACCTTCTGGACAAATCAATGTTTCCCAAGTCTTTTACTTCAGGAGACAGCTACTCCATCTTTCACACAACTAAGTCGTGTTTCCAACTGCTTATTTACTTCATAAAGTTATCTTTTAAACTGCAAGGAAAAGGAGGCCATCTTAAAAACGACTAAACACAGAGGGCATGATATTCATTCTGTGAGTGTTGGAACTCTGCCTAAGTACAGTAGTACAGTATACGGAAAGTCTACTCCAAGATGTAGGGCTTTTTAGAGCTATGATCTTGCAAAGCAGATTGAGACCTGAGATCTGGGATGGAGTAAGCACTGAGCTGAAGGAGTTTGGATTATATCTCAGAAGTATGTCTAACTCTTTAACTTAGTAGGCATTCCCCTCACAGTTCTGTATTGTCACACACACACACACACACACACACACACACACACACACACACACATAGTTGTGCACACAGGCAATAGTCATTTTATATTTCCAGGAAACTTAGGGTCCTGTTAAAGTCAGTCTACAATCTCCTTCATCATGACATAGTTTCATTAAGAATTTAACAAATGAGAAGAAAAAAAGGAAGGGGAGGGGAAAATAATGTAGTCTTCACCCTAGATCAGAACTTTTCAAATTTTATTTTGATTTTGCCCATTTTTAATAGACCTATATTTTAGATTTACAATATCTTAGAACACTGATAACAGCAAGTGAGAGGTAGGGGGATGAAAGAGCTGGAGAGTTAGCAGCCTCTGCTATTCCCTATGCCTCATCTGCCTGGGCTCTGAGGTTTCCATTCTAGAACACACAAAGGGTCCCCAATTCTCAACAGCCCAATTTCTTGGTCCTTTGCCATGAGACTCTGTGCTTGAGCACTTGCTTTGAGCCACAAAATGAGACAATAGATGAAATTTGAAAAGAACAGAGATGTACACAGCATCCTTCCTGAGCTCTGATGTCACCCAGAGGACCTGGCTAAGCTGACCTACTGGAAGAGAAAACACAGTAGAGATGAGCTCAGACCCATTGCATACACCCACTGCAGTGCATTCTTAGCATTTCATGTGGCCTGATCATTCCTTTTGGATGTCAGTCAGGTTTTGTTTCTTTCCAGAAAAAGGAACCTGTTACTAATTCTTTATTTCCATTTAGTTCCTCAGTGGCTGATCTAAATACCTGCTTTACATTAATTCTGATTAATGGTCACTTCCTTATAGAAGGAGTTGTGCAGAGGCAGTCTTCTCAGCTTACCCTCCTGACTCTCACACCAGACATAGATGTACAAATGCACCACAGTGGCCAGTCAATTATAACATGATCCCCCTACAGCCTATGCCAGCCTCCTTTAAATTTACACATTAAAACTCCCTGTAGAAAACCTATTTGGATTATATCCATAATATATTATATTATTATATCCATATCCATATATATTCATAATATATCCATATTATTGAAATAATAAAGACACTGATCAATATATATGTTTGTCTATCTCTATAACCTCTCCTGTTCCATTCCTCTGAGTATGTGGCTTTGGGGCATGCAATGATTTCCCAAGGCCAGCAAGTAATAAACAACTTATTTTTATTTCAAGTTGTTCCACGAATATGAAGGATATTTTCCTTCTTTAAATATTCTAAATTAAATCATCCATCTTCCTCCTATCAGAAACCAACAGCCAGTCAGTTATGAACATGTTCATCCCTGCCCATGGTGAGCCCAGTGAAGATGACAGCAGCAGAACTTTGTTGACACTGAGCTGAATAAATAGCCTTTGTTCAGGCCATTGAGGTTTGGAAACTTTGGGATCAAGTATTTATGTGGGATCAGATAACAGACATAGCAATTAACACTGACAGAAGGTAGGACTCTTATAGAAACTGAAAAGAGAGGGCACCACTTTAAGATTAGCACCTTGGTGACAAGAGAAGCTTGTAGGGATTTGGAAATAGGAGGGGAAAGGTGCAGAAGTGCTTGGAAAAGTGGCAAGATAGTCTCTGTGGACCATTGATAAATGCATGTCCTTATTACAGAGTGGTGTACATTTGTCAAAAGTGTCACCTATGCTATCTCTGAAGACAAAGTACAGAAACTGCCCAGCAGACCTGGGTTGGGGGTTTCTAGGCAAGATGCTGAGAGATAGAATTTCACATTACAGAGCAAGAGTCCAGCTAAGTGGCCCTCTCAAAGGAACAGAAAGACCTCGCACTTCTAGGTGTATATTGCTCCCTGGCACTCTGACATGCCCCAGATCCCAGTAATTAAGTTTAAGAATTCTCTAAGTGCTTGTCTCAACAAGAGCCACAGGCACAGCAGCTTGTGGTCCTTAATTACATCAACAAACAGCCTAGATGTTGCACAGTGAGCTGCACCAGGCAGTCAACACCAAATTGAACTGAATGCCCACTGCAAGAGGGTGTACAGCCCAGCTTTCTGCAGACCAGTTGAGACATGCTCAGTGACCATTTTTACATGTCCTCTTCACATGGAGCTCTGAAGGAGGATGACAGATGGTTGTCTGAGAACAGAGTTGCAGACCATTGCAACTGATGGACTAGGGATCACTCCCAGGAGCCAGAGTCAAGGCCCAGCTTAGAAGTACCTTCACAGCCAGAGTACCAGATGGTACCACTAAGCTCAGCCCACATCTGTCCAGCCCTGCATTCACAGACTAAATGCTTCTGTACTGAGAAGGCTACTGATGACTTGTAGCTACTTTAAATACTTATATTTTATTTTTGTAATAAAGAATTGAGTGAATGAGCTTCTAAAAATAGAATTTAAAATGTTCTTGGGCTCCTCTTTCAATTTTTTTTTTTATTGAGTGATCTTCATTTGAAAGGGCCTTTATTAATTTTTTAAATCAAGTAATTTTTAAGATGATCTTAAAGTTTTCACTAAGGATTTTGCAGCATTAAAATGAAGTGTTTCCTTCTTTTCCTTCAAAGATTTCTTTTCTAAAACAACATTATGCTCTATGCAATCGCTTTCCCTGTTGGCCCAAAAGTCAGAAAGTGAGGCAATTTAGTAAAGGAAGTAAGAACACATTCTGTTACCTCTGATTCTTGCTCTCAGGAATTACAGGTAATGATTCCTAAGAAAGGGAACTTAGAACAGAAAGAATAGAAAGTCAGCCTGCATGCACTCACCTCTGTAAAAGTGTAGACACACAGAGGCATGTGCATTTACATGCTCACACATACATACAGATGTGGGCCATGGTTTGGTCTTTTTTTGAAATGCATATGCTAGAAAGTGAATTTGGTTTAAATAAAATACACACTTAAAGTGTAAATGAGGCTGTCACAGAAAGGTCCCTGGGAGGCATTCCATACTCCCTGAAACATGTACTAAAGCATCTTCGTATCCAAATTTTTACTTTTCCTTCAAAAGAACAGTGAAAATCATCCTTTATATCTTAAACACAGCCAGAAAGCTAAAGGGAAAGGCTGCTGTGAAAGAGAATGAAATCACTTGACAGGACAGCAGCCACCTCTGGGCTCTGATAACAGAGCCCTTCTTCCTCTCACAATATGAGATTGCTTGGCATTCCAGGAAGAAGTACACTCTGCAAAGGGTTGATAGAACTCATTCAATCTACCTGTAAAGAGCATGTCAGGCAGCAAAACACCTCCAGAAATGACCATCAGTGCAGAAGACCCATATGGACCAACAAAAACATGAATCAGAACAACATATAAGCTACTTCTATCCGACCCCTGGGCAAGATGCTCCAGGCATCTGATAGCAAAGGCACCGACATCTAATAGCAACAAGGAGTGTCTAGACTTGGATAGAAAAGTCAAGGCATCGTTACAAACCTCAACAGGGCCTTTCTACAAATTAGTCATATTTTAACTGCATCCGCATAATACCTTTCAATATAAGCTAGTAAATCCATTTAAATTATCTCCCTTCAAGTTCTGGATGCTGTGATTCTCATATAGAGCTCTAAATCTAGACACAGATTGATTTTTAAAAGAAAAGGTATTTGAAGAGCTCTCAGCTGAAGGAGAGGTTTCTGCGCCGTTCGTACTATGACTTGGGATTTTCTTCAGGGATTAGACTGTAAAGTACAACTGTTGAGACTTTCTCCACGGATTTTTGTGAAGTGCCTGTGGGGCGCTTTATCACCCAAGTAGCCACCCCACACACAGACAGTTGCTTATGTGGATTAGCCTCTCCATTTCAAGAGAGGCACGAACACCCCTGCAAACTGGTGAGGAGTGTGACTCCTGGGCACACAAAGGTTACAGCAGTTCTGTGGTGAGTTTATGACCAGATGGGAAACCTACACAGGAAAGAAAGAAATGATTTGGCCATCTCCCCACTCACTCCTTCAGGCTGGATTTAGCTTTCTCCCCTAATTTATTGTTTCCAATTTCCCCTTTTACACGCCTTGCTCCTTCCCTAATCACAGCAACTAAAAGCTTTGATCCATTTTTGTCCATTTTAAGCTTATGTTGACTTCTTCCTTGTGTGGCAGGAGGATTATTTAGCACTAATGTATTCCCACTATGGAATTTTATCACTTCCTTCCAATGAGGAACCTCCTGCCTTCTCCCTGTAATTTTAATGGGACTATGCCTAACTCCTAGGGTACACTTGTTAGGACACAAAACCCCAGAGCCTCTAAGATTCATCCTGATTTCTTGCTCTTTGCCTTTTGTTGGGTTGGCATGCATACAATATTTTTAAAGATGAGTTCAGCTCCACAATTAGGAGAATTCTTTGGCAACCATGAACAGTGATAGTGGTTCCACTCATGAAACACAGGCATCCTTAAATGTATATCAGCCCTCCTTTTACCTTAGTCTACTAGATGAAATCCTATCTCAACAAAAAGTAGTAACCTGTTAGTTATACTTCTATACCATCTAAATTAATCAACTCTTTTCTTCTCTTAGGAGAATCTTCATAGCACAATCATTCTCAATTTTCAGTAACAAACACTGGTATTTGATATGCCTTTGGCAAGCCCATGTTCACCAAAGTATTTGTTTGGGCTTCTGTTTGCCTTAAATACTTTCTGAAACATGAAGAAAGGGAATTCTATTACCTTCGCCATAGTCCTTGGTTTTGATGTGTTTGCCTTCACATCTTCAGCTTTATTGGGTATTTGTACTCCAAAAGACCAACCTCCAAGCCTGTTAGGAGTAAACATGATATTTGTCCAAATCAGATTATCGGGACTTCCACTCAAAGGGTGACTCAGAGCCAAAACATAGCAGTTGCAGTTACCTCAAGACAGTAGGCTGCTGAGCACATCTGATGATCTCACCAATTGAGATAATTGCTGCTGGTGGTGACATGGCCTCTGTCTGGCACCCAGAGAGAGGATATAGCTCATGAAGAAGGAATGGGCACAGATCACCATGCTAGAAGCTGTACTTATTAGAACTGCTTGTTAGAAAACAAGCATTGTGGAAGGACATGGCCCTGACTCTCAGCACTCTGTTTTAATTCACATCCACTATTCAGGATGAGTTGCTCCAGTTTAATCTTGTGTCTGCCTAGTTTGACCCCCCTGCTCTGCTCTTTCCCTTCACCACTCTCAAGGCTTGCCTTGCTTTAGAAGGCATTGCAGAACTACAGTGGGTAAGATACTTCTCTTTGAATTCTCCCAATACCTTCCATCAGTTTTATCAATTACCATGCTGAGTTTTGTAATCATTAACTTGCTGGTTTGCCTTTCATGCAGCTAATGAGTTTTTCCTGGGTGAAAATTATGTAGCTTTATCTCCATGGGCTGTATGGTATCTTATACTTATTAAGCTTTCCAATATAACTGACATCAGAAATAAAGGTATACATTAATATAGGCTTCTCAATCTTTGAATGGAAAGGAATTGAAGAACAGTCCTGCACCATAACATCCTTACTGCAAATGTTAAGGAATAGGGCTGCATTACCATCTAGCTCAACTGAATTCATTCATCCATTCGATGGGCTTAGACTGGGTTCCTCTGATATGTCAGGTACTATTCCCAGTTCTGAGAATACAACTTTTATCCCATCAAGGTTAGGAAGCAGAAGTAGAGATTGTAGGATATATTTAAGGATGCTAGGAGGGAAAGAAGTATTACAGATGCAGGGAAAACAGAGGGCAAAGAAGGTCAGTGTTGAGGGCAATGGTTACATACTGGCCTGGCAAAGAAGGAGAGAAAGCAGATGCAAAGAGTATAGTATCCTAGCAACATGGACAGTGAATAGGATGTCTGCATCTATGAAGCCATGCACTGTGTTTCAGGGACTTGGTAAATTTGACAGAATAGTAAGTCCTGCTGATGTTGCAAGCAATATGAAGTATGTACACCTATCTACTATATAGGCATTCACTTCTTTCAGTTTCCAAAAATTCAACACAAAAATTTTCCAAAAGCCACAAGGAATTGTAAGACATGATTTGTTCCCAGGTTTCATTACTAGGTACTACACAGCAGAGGAAATTTTAACAAGAGACCATTATTTCATTACGCCATTAGCTCTTCTGCTCTGCTCCCTGAAGCAGCAAAACTGCCCCTGGCTCCCCTGCCTCTGCCCCTGCCACTGATGAGATCTCAATTGATATGATTCCCCCCAATGCTTTACAGCCTGAAAACCATCAGCGAGGAATCTGATTAAGGCCTACAGCATGACTTTGGAATTCATATGAACACCAATGTGCACATCAGACTTTTGGGCTTTACTACACATTAACATTTGAAGCAATGGACTTTTTTTTTTCCCCGAAGTATGGTTGACTCTCACAGTCCATGGGCTCCATACATCTGTGGTTGTTCAACCAACTACGCGTAGAAAATATTCAGAAAATAACTGTGTTTGCACTCAACATATATAATTATCATCATTATCATTATCCATGAAACAGTGCACAATAGCTGTTCGCATAGCATTTGTACTCTGTCTGTTACCCTACGTCATCTAAAGATGACTACAGAATGGGATTCTGTACAATTACCATACCACCATTTTGCATAACGGAGTCAAGATCCTGAGAATTTGGCTAGCCTCTGGGTACTAGAACTAATCTCAGTGCCTATGGAAGGAGAACTGTAATTCAGAGAAAATAGGAAGGATCCAGCAACAGTTGTGTACACACCTTGGTTTTGCAGATGACACCAGCAAGTACTCTTCCACATCATAGCCTGAGAGGTTGAGCAGTGTGTGTCCCAGGCAGTTGGTCAGAGAGGGAGCACCGGCACTTTTATTTGGACACTTCTGTAATTGTTTTCAAAGAAAACAAACAGAAACTTTTTCAGAACCCACAATTGACTCACTGACATTACTTTAAACTAAATGTGACTTTTCCGTAGCTTTTGATTTCTAATAAATTATCTCCAGCCTTTTTATAAATTCTGATTTCTGAAGTCTCTTTAAGAGCCCCCTGCAGTCAAGGATTTCATCAGGATTCCACTGTGCCCTCAGCTGTCAATTATATCTGAGAACTTCAAATCCTTTTTTGCATGTAAGTTTGGGCAGATCTGTAAGAACTAAAAAGGGAAGATGTTTTCACTGGCGTGATCTTTCATTTGAAGAAGAAGCTGCAAGAGTCGGAGGCAACTAGAAGGAGAAAGATAAGCAAGAGATTTCAAAGGCCTGTGTTTCTTTCATATGTGCTGGAGGCCAAACTCAAACAGCCTTCTGAGGTTTGTCCAAGTCTGCATGTTGAAATGGCCATCAAATGAGTAAGGAGGAGGTGGCCAACCCACCAGTCACCGGACGACTGCCACCCTACCACAGACAGAGTTCACACTAAATTTGATCTGTTTCTACTTCAGTAAAAGAAAGTTTGGAGGAAATAATATGTAAAAGTAGGAAAACTGTCTCTGAACATTTTACTCTTGTGCATGTTTTCCCTTCAAAACTGGAATCAAAACATCCTGAGTTTGCTGTTGTTCCTATGCAAGAACGATGGCAAATCAAGAGGGTAGTAGAAGCTTAAAGTACGACTTTCAGAAAAGTGTGGATTCGATAACAAGAATTTTAATTGCTGATAGTTATGGCTTAGCTAAATTCTCATGCATAGAAGTTTAAAAACTCGGATCAAAGAAACAGTAAAACAGCTGCTGTTAGATGCTGTAGCAGGAGGAAGGGAACATTAGAAAAGCTGTTGGTCACAGCCCCAAACCTTCAGTTAAAGAGAAGTTATAAGTTCACAGGCCCAGTGGACATGATCACTCTAGAGAAAGCTATGCATGCGTATACTTGGAAACTGCTGAGTTCATTCTCTTTCTTCTAACACTTACTTGAGCCAAGTTTCATTACTATGAAAGGACTTAGCAATGCTACTCAAGATGCTCATTCCTGTTGGGCCTGGTAGAAAATGCCTTTAATCCCAGCACTCAGGAGGCAGAGGCAGGCAGATCTATGTGAGTTCCAGGATATCCTGGTCTACAAAGTAAGTTCCAGGACAGCCAGGGCTGTTATACAGAAAAACCCTGTCTCAGAAATCCAAATAGTAGAAGATGGATAGATAGATAGATAGATAGATAGATAGATAGATAGATAGATAGATATTAATTCCTTCAGGAATAGCTTGCCTTCCACAACATGTAGAATGATTATTCTGACCATCACAAATACATAAGATATCTACTTAGCATTTAAAGTAGATTGCTGAATAATTTAACCAAATTAAAGTACCTTACTCACAAATTTGAATAAGAACCTTTAAAGTTCCCTTGCCTCTGGTATTTGTTTCTAATCTTCCTTCTGACTGTGAATCAACATGCATGTATCTTTCTAAAACACAATCTGTATTTTGATGAGTTCCTTGCTACGAAATCAAAGTTTTGTGACTCGAGCTCAGTAGAAAATATATTTAGCCTCTTTTTCTAACTCTAGTGTATTTCGTTCTCTACAAATACACCCTCTGCAGTCAAATGTTCTACCCCTGAGCTATATCCCCCAAATATGCCTTCTGTTCTAAGCCTAATGATGATTCCTTAAATATCAGGTTCTTGTCCCTGGAATCTGCCAGTGCCTCCATATGTGGCAAAGGATGTGACAATTATCATTCACTAAGTTATAGATCTCCACTGGAGGAGTCACACTTGATGGTAAGGATAGACCCCAATGGCATCATCTCTGTCTCTCTAAGATGTAATTAGGGGAGATTAGACAAGAGTGATAGAGGATAGGGAACCACAGTGTCATACACTAGAGTTGTGTAGCCACAGTCCAACAAGTGTCACCTGATATTATCAGAAGTAAGCCAAGGAGTCTCCCCTACAGACTGCTGGCATGTAGTGTGATTTCAGAACACACCACTGATTTAAGATTCTACCCCAGAACTTGTGAGGACAAAGTTGCTTATTTCAGTTGCCCAGTATATAACAGTTTACAGCAACAGCTGAGGAACATGACATCCCTCTGGAGTTTTGCACAAGGTCACTTCCATCCCTGATGGTAGGGTGCTGCCCACACTGCAGCTATTATTCATCAGAACTCAGGCTGAAAACATCCTGTACATTTTTGAGGGTCGCCAAGATTCCCATCACCCTTGGAGATTACAAAGTGTTGTCTTTCCCAGATAATGACTGGAACTAACCCTGGGTTTTTGAACTTGTAAAGAGTCGAGGAACAATGGATATTCAGTCAAACACCATTAACTGAGATCACCATGATCAACAAAAATAAGAGAACTAATGTTGGGCAACTGTTCCCTGCATAGTTTCCCATGTGTCTCTAGAGGTAACCCTAAGGCACAATGATTCATGCCTCAACTCCCTTCTCTGAGATTCTTGGATAGCTACTAAATTGACTGCTATTTCTCAAAGTGTGTTCAAGAAAACACAGAAGTCACAATAAAGAGAAAGAAAAGAAAAGAAAAGAAAAGAAAAGAAAAGAAAAGAAAAGAAAAGAAAAGAAAAGAAAAGAAAAGAAAAAAGGG